TTTGAATTGACTTAAAATCACAAATGTCACTATGAATTAATTCAAGTGGTTTCGAACTTCTTTCAATTGAATAGAAAGGAGTTTTGGATAATTTTGCCTCAACGTAAATTTCACATTTATGATTTAAATCAATGTCAAATTTAGGTAAACATTCCATATTAATTAATCTACGCAAAGATCCATAATTAACATGTCCTAGTCTATCATGCCATAAATTTGAAGACTCAAGCAAGTAAGAAGAAGATGTATTTTTATTAATACCAGAAGGTACAACAGTCATTACATTCATTTTGAAAAGGCCATCAGACATGTAACATTTTCCTACATACATCCCGTTTTTGGTAAGTGCAAACTTGTTACTTTCAAAAACTAGGCTAAACCCATTCTTACTCAACAAAGATCCGGAAACAAGATTCTTGTGAATGTCCGGTACATGCAACACATTGTTGAGAGTGCGTTCCTTTCCAGATGTCATTTTTAGAATAATCTTTCCTTGTCCTTCAACTTTAGAAGTCGAAGAGTTGCCCATAAAAAGTTGTTCACTATTGTCCACTGTAGAATAAGATATGAACATCTTTTTGTCAGCACAGATATGGCGAGTAGCACCAATGTCCACCCACCATTCTTTAGGATTTCCGACAAGATTTGCCTCGGAAACAACTGCAGAAAGATTTATGACATCTGCACCATTGGAAATTATATCCATTTCAGTTATATCGGCTTTAGTAACCTTCTTACTTGTTCTTCCTTTGCCTTTGCAAAAATCAGTTCTTAAGAACTTCTCTGGTTGTTTACCATGATTCACTGGTACAGTCCCAATATAAGGAGAGGTTGGCGTAATGGCAATCACCATACCAGTACTGGTTTGAACATAAGTTTGACCAGTTTTAGTAGCCATAAATTCTAAATTATAAAATAAAATTAGAATTATAATTTTATACTACACAGAAAACTAAAACCAAAAACCACAAAATTTTAAATTCTGTACAAATAAAAGAAACAAGAATTGTAACTTTTATTTCCAATTAATTTGAAAATAAAATAAAATTTTATTTAAACAAATTAAACCAAAACTACAGAAATAAATTCTGTTAAAATAAAAGAAACAAAACAAAATGTAACTTTTATTTTCAATTAATTTGGAAATAAAATAAAATAAAATTTTATTTAACCAAATTAATTCCACACTGAAAACTAATCCAAATTCACAGAATTAAATTCTATAAAAATAAAAGAAACAAGAATGTAACTTTTATTTTCTAATTAATATAGGAATAAAATAAAATTTTATTTAACCAAATTAATTCCACACAGAAAATTAAATTTCTGTAACACTTCAATAATTAAAATACTGAAACAGAATTTTAATTAATGAAAACTCAGAAAATAATTTCTAAAAACCAAAATTAATTTTCTGACAAAATTCCATAAAAATATATTCTGAATTGTTAATGACGCCAGTATCGTACTACTAGTTGTCAAAGAAAATAGACAGTATATTACTACTATCTGTCAAATAGCATATAATCACTATTTATTTTTCCAACCAGAATATTATTTTGTAAATCCACAGAAAATATTTTTCTTAAAAGAAGAAACAGAAAAAGGAAACAAACGAAAAATTTTGTAAACAGAATAATTCGTCTCTGTCTTAAGATTGTTGGAACAATCTTCTATGTAAATAAAATAATTTGAAACAATTCAAACAAAATAAAATAAAACTTACAGTATTTATTTTGTAGAACCGAATAAATAATTAAAGACCAAGTCGAGTGTGTGACACTCTATCTTTAAGACAGATTCACCCCGCTACGATGCTTACGGTTGAGTGACATCTATCTCTCAGGATACAATGATCTTCACAAATTGTAGTAGCACTCCAAATAATTTGTTCGGCAAACCAAACCTGTGTTTTAACTCTCTGAATTTTATTTTAAAACTAAAATGAAGAATAATGCACCAAAGATAAAAACTGGATAGCAAGAAAATATTTCAGAGTAAATTTTTCTGGGCCTCAAGACTGCTGGAAAATGGCTGGTATTTATTGGCAAATAAATCTGTCCGATCAGGTGTGTAAACAGCCTGTACAGATATGAAACTGTTTTGTACAGATTCAAAATGTAAACTGGACAGATCTTGAATCTGTCCGAATTTCTTCAAACCTCCGAATAGAATTATGGATGTTTTTATCAACCCAAAAAACTGCTGGAACAAGTCTAGTATAAATAGACCTGAACAGGTGCATTTTTTAAATGAACAGATATCATTCAAAATTCAAACATATTAGAACAAAACTGTCCAGATTGAATCTGTTCGGACAGTTAAGAATCTGTCCGATTTTTAAACAGTTAGAAAACCTGTTTCAATTGAAAATCTGTTGTGGAATATTTAGACAGGAAAAAGTTTATTTGGACAAAAAATTTAAATGAATTTTGTCCAAAAAATTAATACAAGAACCGATCCAACCCAACCCACACCCGCGCCCGGCACGGCTCGGCCAGCAGCGGCGCACGCGCGTGGTGGCTTTGGCTAAGATTCACTTTGTCCATAACCCCTCCCTTCTACAAACTTGGGGTGCCTCTTAGGGCCCAACCCAAATATTGTAGACTAGAGTATATATACTCAACAAGAAAACTCACATTTAAAACTTAAATGTTCAATTCCACGAACCCGAAAACGACGTCATGTTCCCATTCACTCATAAATGGTTTTGAAGAACCGTCTTCACTGTGTGACTTGCCACGCGGTAAGGAACACTTCACCTCTTCGGACCCGCCCCAAAAGACGTTCGGGGCCCACTCAATTTTGGGCTCAAAGTCGGCCCAAAATAAGCCTATATAAATCATTTTTCCAACAATCCCCTACATGAAAGGAATTCGACGGAGAGAAAATGCAACAACATGATCTAATGATAGAGAGTACAGAAATTGGAAATATTCTGCAAAGGATAGGTAGCTTTTGGCTTTGAACCTTCCATTGTGAGACACTATCGAATTTACTATCTAACCAGTGAAAAAGATGTCTTGAACTGTTCAGCCGTTTGTATAAACCAGGACAATAGAACTCACACAGTATATCCCCAGACACAGTTTAGTTCTCACCAGACACAGTTTAGTTCTCACTATTGTGTTCATTTTGGCCCTGAACAACCTGGTCTTCA